TTTCAATTGAAAATGACGTAGCTCGTTAGATTATTGTGCTTTAATTAAAGATTTTAGTCTTAGAAAAAGCCATAATCATCATTTTTTAAATCCCTGCATATATCTTTTAAGGCAGTTATGTACTGTACCTGAGTTTATCATCATTAATAATTTGTCGTCTTTATGTTTGTTAACTTTTATAAATCCTCTAATATAATAGATTAAAACTCTAAACTTATTTATTTATAACTTTTGCATTTCTCGTCAATCGTCAGAAATATTTCAATTCACATACTTTGCACAAAGGACCTCCCGGAGCCTCGCTGCATGACATCTTCACGTTTTTAAACTAATCAAACCAAATTCTATAGATGGGTCGCATGCCACGTGATAAAACGCACGTTTTCTCCGCCCCTTCGCCATGTTTGTGGTCTAGTTTCCGCTTGCTTAGCTTGCACGTGGTTTCTTATTTGACAAGTTGACAGCACGTTTTTAATTTAAACTTAATAGAACTGCAGTATTTTTATATCATGGATAAAGTTAAAAAGCTTTTCTGGCGGGTTATTCTCCAGTCTGACACAGGACAGGATGCTGCTTTATATGAAGAGAGTTTCATTATATCAAGGTGTCTATTCATACGAAGGCAAATTTGTTACAGATCGTCGTGGTCTAAAGTAGAATTTGGTGACATCATAAACTACAGTATTTGGTTTCACGACAAATTATTACTCTCTCACAAATGAAACCTTACAGATCTTTAAGAGGCCCACAACTATCTTACAAATGGCTGTGTTTGTTTTTATGTGCTCTTTCGTAACGCTCCTAATATGCAGTTGGGTTGTGGCCACTCTCATACCCCACGTATAATGTTGGTACCCAGCTGATGACGACTCATCATAAAACGAGGAATATTTCCCTTTGGGGTAAAAAACTTTTTCAATAATATATTATTATTAAAAAGAATTTATCATTATGGTATGTTATATATAAATAATAAGGATTTGTCAGGAACAACTCGAAGGTTACTATGTAATAATTATTTGTTACTAATGTAAAAAGAATCATTGTAAAAAGTAACATCTTAAAGATATGTCAATGTTGCTCACCAAAATAACCTAACTTAGCTATTTGTAAATTAACAATAAAAATTATTGGTTTATATCTTTAAAAATACACACGCTTTTATTTATGTAAATTAGAATGCAAGTACAGTACAATTGGTTCAAAATGCATTTCTAATTCTTCATCCGCTAAGGGTGCGTTTACTTCTGAGTTAGCAGTGCTAATTCTGATAACCGGATGTGACGTCATTAGCACGTGTATTCGTGCTTGCTTGTCCAATTCGAAAGTGAACACATACGCTAACAAGAAATATGGCTGGAAACCGCCATATTTCTTGTTAGCGTATGTGTTCACTTTCGAATTGGACAAGCAAGCACGAATACACGTGCTAATGACGTCACATCCGGTTATCAGAATTAGCACTGTTAACTCAGAAGTAAACGCACCCTTATCTTTGCTTAACAATTTAATATTAATCCTATTGTATATTTATTACAAGCAGACACTAAGAACAATTGAAAGGTGAAAAATAAAGCTAGAACACAATCATCATCTATTCAAACTAAAATCTGCGGTTGTTAAAATCATTTAGGTTAATACCGACAAAATAGCCGGTATTAACAAAGGAATTTATGCAACTGGCTTATACACACTTTATGATACTCATGCAAAAGTTTACCTAATCATTTATTGATAAATAGTAATCAAATGTTACTGCTTACCTGAAATGAAATGTTTCTGACAAACTTGTACCAATATTAATTTTATCCGTATTAAAATTTTTCTGGTTAATTCTCGGGAGCCATGCAAATTGCCTTCGCCGTGAAAGCTCCTCAGTTTGTGGTCCTTGATGACGAATAATGCCGGAAATGAAAAAAAATGACGTTTCTTCGTTCTTAAGTGAACTAGCATTACACCCAAAAACAACAATTTACCATAGTGATATTCGCGACAAATAAACAACACAAGAACTCCAGCTAAAGCGCGTGTAAACACAAATAAAACGTAAACAAACCACGAAGATTGCGTCGGACAATCGCTCAAGCTCACGACGTACCCTCTAACCCGAAACTATTGCAGAAATAAGCCGTGTTTCCGAGACACCTAATTTGCATAATCTCGCGGAGGTCAACTTTCCACTTACAATTTAGGCGTAACTGCAATGCCCAAATCGCCGAAAAAGTCAAAGGTCGAAGCCGGAATGCGCAAGGAAGACGCGATTCCGAGGCACCTAATTTGCATTCACGGGGCAGATCCCCCTTACAATGTAGGAACCTGTCCCCAAGCACCGAAAATTCTTCCCAAATCAGTTCCGGGTTAAAGGTCAAACCACAAGAATGCACCGAAAACTAGACTTTCCTCCCTTCTAATTCGCATCCAACTTCATAATTTGCATATTCTCGCGTCTTCATATATGCGGATGTGCGAAGTATCGCTCGTGATGTCGACTCTAAATTTCTCTATACGATTCTTAATGTGGCGGTATTTTGCACGTTATTTTCCCTCTGTATTAATGATAATTAGCCGACAATGAAAACAAAAAGCCGAAATATTCGTGTTATAAAATGAAATTTGGATGTTAAACGATTAAAGTTACATTATTTGTATATGATAATTGATTTCTGAACGATCGTGTTATTACTAGAGTAACCTATTGCTATTAGAAGAGAGGATAAATTTATATACGAGTTCACTCGTAATTAAAGTAGGATTCGCCTATTTACTTTGTGTTTCGAATATAAAAAGACAACCATTAGAAGAAAGCATTTTTGAAAAAAAAAAAAAATTATATCTGCACGTAAATAGTAGCAAACTTCACATTTATAATTTATTATACAGAGTAAATTGAAATTTGAGTGAGAATAGTTAAAACCAAAAATTAATTATTTTGGGAATGCAAATCTCTGTAGAATTTTTACACAATAAATTGCCATAGAATCTTTTTACTGCAGCCTAAATTATACAGAAATGGCCACAAATAGTAATATTTATTTAAATTTTTAACTAATTTATATGTTATATCGCAATTATCGAATCCGTAATTTGTTAAAATGGAGGAGGACTTTTTAAGTATTCTCGAATGTTTGAATCGTTAAGAAATTGTATGTACTCTCATCAGAGAAAAAGTTTGCTCTACAATCTAACAATGGGGTTTGTGTCAGTAAAACAAAGTATAAATAGTAAGAAAAACTGCAAAATTTCCATGTAATTGGCTCTTTTAAATTAAACTGATAATAAAATTAAATTCTTACCTTGTTTTGAATGTGTCTTCTATTAAGGAAAAAGCTCAAATTTCGCCATTTTATTTCGTGCACGATTGTTCATTATGCATGAATTACCGTTTCGCGCAGATAAAATTCTCTAAGTAGAAATTTAGAGATATTGATTACGCAATTACATTTATCTAATTATTCCATTTAGGAAATTAACGACGAGGGATTATAATATTTCCATCCTGAATTATTCTTTTCATTTTAGCTTATCAATCGTCATAAAACTAACGTTTTGATTTCAATTTATTTTCATATGAAATTGCGAAAAAAAGAATCGATTCCATCGTTAAATGTATCAATTTTACGATAAATTCGCGTGCTAAAAGCGTCATTTAATTAAAAGTTGATTTATCAAAGGCCCGAAATGGGCTCTGAGGGAATTCATTTCGAAATTTTATATATTAAAAAGAATTATTTAGATATTTCAAGTGTCCGAAACGATAAGAATATGTTTGCTAGGAAAATTAAATAATCCATTCTGAGAATTACAAATTAGAAGAGAGATTTGTTTTTTTTTTCTTTTAATAAGTCTATTTTTGTAATAAAAAAATGTAGACTTTTGGCAATATCTTTAGTTGATAAGTAATGGATTTCAAAACACTAGAGGTTAAGTCTAAACTATTTTTTGTATTGAAAAGATTTCAGGTACTACTTCCTATTGAATTCTATTAAAATACTCATCCATTACTTAATGAGAAACAAAATAGCATTTTAAAAATTAACCTAAAGATCCTTAATGGACCAGCATTGCACATCATCATCTATATGAGAATTAAGATTACATTTTGAATAAAAAAATATTATATATCAAAATTTATTTCATTGGAAATAATATTTTTTTTTTCCTTAAATTTTGCGACTGTTGTTGTTTTAAATAACAAATTTACATTATATTATATCATTAGATATGATGTGTGTGTAATGACTAATACAGATTCATGTTTATTATTTTTGGATTGCATTAAACAGGAGAAAGACCACCATTTCTTTTCTTTGTTTTTGAGATTCTCATTGAATCATTGAAATTAAGCCTTCAGAATTTAAAATATCCATATGAACTAAAATAGTTAGATAAATGCTATTATTGATTATTACATTTTTTTTTTTATTTTTATAATTCAAGAATATTATGGATGAATAAATGCATTTTCAGCAGTTTATTTTTATGAAATATGTAATTTTTATGGAGTAATTCTATTTTTTAATTTTTCCACAAATGTTTAGTAGCCTTCAAATAGTTCAGGATCTTAATAAATTTGATGTTTTCTATTCAAAAATAAATTGTTGCTAGTACAAATATATTCTTTTGTACAAAAATAAATTTACACTGTTTTCTTCTGTGAGAGTACTTGCTTAAATGCATTGAATGTGAAGAAAAGAAAAAAGGTGGAAAACAGACACAATTACAAATTTATCACCCTTTATTTATTTATTTTTTTTCTCAAACCCCATATTTCTTAAGATCTACAATCCTAAACCCCAGATCACACAGCCAAGATAATGTCAGTTTCCTATTTTTGACATTTCATCTTTCCGACTTTTTCCTCTGCAATGTTGTTTGGATTAAAACTTTTTTCAGACAACAAAATGAATATTATATCCGTTGTTTGCTTTAAATCTTGTTACTCCTACTTTGTTGGTGAAAAGATCTACAAATGATTCTGCAAACAGGATGATAACTTTCTATTCGATTCATTTTGTTCTATATCATATTTGTTTCTATCTCATCCACGTCTTCTGTCTCAGATAAAATATGACTAAATAAACAGATAAAGAAAGGGAGACAGAATAGTTAATAATAACATGCACTCTAGTGGTCAAGGTGACAGCCGATATCAAAAATTGTAGAAAATAGAAGACTGATACATGGGATAACCAATTTAACCCAAAACAAGGAAGATTGTGTAAACTCACAATGTGAAACAAGCTGCTTAGTTTTTTCAAGAAAAGGGAAATTCAATGATTAAAGCTTATATTATATACAATATCTATATCTATTTACTTTATTTAAATTTGGAGCCATTTTTGAAATTTGTGTGCGCACATTTATTTGGAGACCGTTTTCTCTGCTGTCTCCATTTTCCTCTCTTTAGATTGGGGATGGGCAGAAATAAGATTTAACTGCCTTGATCTATAATGGGAGGGAGGGTCAATGAGGAGTAGGGAGAGGTGTAAATATGATCACATGGCACAGGCTCATTTATGACAAATATTCTTCAGCATTTATTCTATACGTTCTTTGGTGCATATATATTATATATATACAAGCCCAGTGTGTTTCCAGTTTTTAAGAATGGGACAAATAGGTGTTCTTCTTAAAGCTAATATATGATCTAAGCTAAATGACGGCAGTGAATCCTAAGTCTACAACACGATTGTTTTTAAATCCCGATTTGTCTATATTTTATATATTTATGTATATATTCTGCAAATACGCGATTATGAAAAGAAAAGGACAGTGTTGCACTGCATTAATGACTCCCTACCCTCCACAATTTTTCATAATGACGCGATATCTTAAGTACTAAAGAAACTAGCCATCTAAGAAACACACAAGATGTACAGAAGCTACAGGAGGTCATATTTCTCTAACTCTTCTATCTTTGTACATTGTACATTATTAAATATACTGAATTTTATCTTCTTGTCATTAAAGAAGATTTATGCATTCATATATACATAGTGTATGCATATATATTTATATGTTGAATAAGAAGAGAAAGAGAAAATTTGACCCAACAGCTTCAGAATGATGAGTAAGTTTATATATGAAAATAGGAAATTATTAAACCAGTTATAATTTCTTTGTAAACTAAAATGGTGTTTAACATAAACACAGAACCAGTGAGTGTGTTTGAAGGGAGTTACTCTTTATCCTATAGTGTCTCCATTGTCATTCCAAAAATACACATCTGTTGTGATGGATATTATAATTTTGTCAATTTGACATTACAAAGAAACCTATGGAAATATTAATTTTTTATAATTATAATTTCCATTTGTTTTCCCTCCCTCCCTTTGTGCCTTCTATGAAGTAACGGCAGCCAATCTAGACTGGGAATAGCTATAAAAGCTCAACATTATAAAATATTATCCTAAGGAGGGGGAAAGAACTTTAGAACCTGCATCATGAAGCAGTTTCCGTCATGCATGCAATGACAGTTGCAGTTTCTTTTGGCAATATCATTCCAATTTGTGGTTTTAACATTGGTTTGATAATTTAGAGAAATTAAGCAATATCTGAAATATAAGTGCAGTTTTTGTCTAAAAGTAAAACACTTCACTTTTTCTATTTCTCTTTGTTTATCCCAATATATATTCACAAATCCTTTGATAATAACAATGGCATATATCCTTTAATTCAAAAATCTGATGCTTTTCTTTCTTTTTTACTAACAATATTTTAACTTCCCTTCCCTAGATAATAGCTAAACTTTACTGTATTGATTTCTACAGCAACTTGGAATTTACTCAACTCTTAAGCTGACTGACAATAATTCACATAGTGGTAATGGGTGGTGGCAGAGAGAGGGTGAGAGGTGAAGATAAAGTGAAGAGTTAATTCTTTTATTTTCCATACTTTTTGATTCTGCTGCAGCTAATTTCACAATGACATTCTTTCTTCATTCAAAATTAAATATGAGAGAAGGAGGAAGGAAATTTATACAAACTGACAAAAACACACAAATGATTATCTATTGAAAGAAACTTTTTGGTATTTTTCTTGCATAAACACATTCACACAATTTGCACATCGCAGTCATTCATACATTCAAACACATAATGACCCTCTGCCTCTCTCTGCTTTTGCAATGCTCCTTGTTGTTGTGTGTCAGTTTTGAAGTCTGTTTTTACTTCACAGATGATGACCCAAAGTCCAAAATGTCCAGTGGAAGTCCAAGCTCTGTGGACAGGTGGGACATTAAGACGAGCATTGGAAAAACAACAGAAAAGAGAACAGTCTGTCCGCTGAGCCTGGGCCTTTATGCTGAACGGGACAAATCCTGCTAAGTCCTAGTGTGAGCGATGGGGCAAGGGAGAGACCAAGATGCAATATCCATCAAAGGGGTCAATATTACTGAGCTTGATACTGTTGCATAGGATAGGCACCTATCATTCCTGGTTGTTGAAGTCCTTGTCCTAATGGATTCTGGGCTGCTGCAGCTGCTGCAGCCATTTGAGGCTGGTTGGGAATACCTTGCCAGGCCATTTGCATTCCCATTCTGAAAAAAATGCATAAATTTGTTTATATTTTTAAAATCAGATATAACTTAAAAACTAATTTTGTAAATTACTTAAGGAAGTAAAGTAAAATTTGTAATTCAGTCATAACATGTTATCATCTAAAATATTTTAACAATATAATAATAATAATAATAATAATAATAACATAGCATATTTAAAGTGATGATTTTGACAAATTTTTAAATAAAAAATATCAAAGTACTTTCAGTTTATAAAGTATAGTTATTCTTGTTAGATATGAACTCATTATATGTGATTTTGACCTGATGCAATTTTTAAATATTATGGTTGATCTCACAAATACATTCATAATAATTTTAAAAATATATTTGTTCCAAAACAGTGTAGAATCTGGCAATTTTGATTAGCTCTGCTTCACCAGTTCTTTGTTACAAGAAACTGAACTTTTTATCAACATTACAGTATATCTCAAATACAGTTTAAGGTAATCTATTAGAGTATTTTGTTATTGTTTTTTTAGATTTTTGTTTCGTTTTCTGCTTGAAAACAGAAAATATTCCATATTGAATTGACAATGAGAAGGATGTTGAAAAATTACATCAGATGTTACTTGAGTCAGATGATGAAAATTTGATGACGGAATTTAAGAATGAAAGTAATGTTGATGAAAAAGATACTGAAAATTTCTAATGATGAAGTTAACATGCTAAAATATACTACATTAGCATATACAGTATAGTCAATTATTATATGTTTCATTTCAATTTATCTTTTTTTACATTTTTAAAAATTAAAATCTACTACATTAGCATATACAGTATAGTCAATTATTATATGTTTCATTTCAATTTATCTTTTTTTACGGTTTTAAAAATTAAAATCTATATTAGCACTAAAGGTTAAATGTGTTGCTTGTTTTGTCTAATTCTATAAGATTTAAAACAGAAATCAGCTTATAGGAGTTTATCAGAAATACAAATAACGATGAATCACACCAGAAATTATTGATGTGAATAAGTAATTGGGCTTTCAATCATTGCNGAGCTCTATCTTAAGAGTAAAATGAAGTAAATTGTTTCAAGTTCAGTGTGGTGCCAAGTTTTGTCTGTTATCAGAAACGAAATTTATTATTATTCTAGAACTAAATAATATATCTTGATAGAGCACATGTGAATGAAAATACAAATCTTTTTTAATTTAAACTTTTAATGATCAATGCACATTTCATAAAATTTTTTTATTGTTATTCTATCTAACAGATATATCAACACATCAATAAATAAACAACACAACACAACATAGTTTTGACATTGCAAACTATGCAGGGTTAATTCATTGTGTGCCTACATCTACCTTTTGCAACTACAGAATCCAAAGCATCCCAAATGTTATTTTGTCTTCTTAAATTTTTAAAATTACAATATATCTTCAACACAAGTGAAAACTGTCAATTCACCAATTGACAACCTTCAAAGAAATGAAAAAAACAATGATCTGAACTTAGTTCTTGTATCAGTTGATTTATAAATTGGAAGTCACAGATGTAATAATTGGAAAAAAAAAAATATATATTTCTCTCTAAATTTTAGTTATTTTTTATTTTGAATACACATCTTTATTTGAGTACACACCTTTGTAAATGTCAACTCACTCAATATGATTTCACTTTATGATTGATTTCACAAGAAAATTTTGCATATAGTGCAAGAAATACTTATACTTTAATAGAAAGTATTTAGTAATCCAATTAAGATAAATTTCTAAATGTTTAAATAGAAAAAAGTTGTTATTAATGGCTGAGTTAACAATCAATGTTCATTTTTAAAACTTTTAAAAACTAATAAACAATTTTATTTTTATTATTTTAGAAGCAAGGCAAATTTTATAATCATGTAATATTTTTTTTTATATTAAAGTATGTTATTTTAATTCAAAAGTTTACATTATTGTTCGATCAATATTATCCAAATAATTATAAATTCTATTAAGCTTTCATATTTTTTCTATATCTTTATTATTCATTCTTTTTGATATTATTTAATTATGTGGAATGAATAATTATACAAGGGGCAGTCAATAAGTTCCCAGAATTGAGATCCTGTACTGTAGTGGCACGAAATATGGCAATGCAGACCTAATCACATTCAAATTAGGCTCCTCCCACACAGACACACTTGTTCCATCAATCTTGCCACTGTTGAAAGCAGGTGTTGATGCTTCTTTTGGAATCTTCTGGAGTTGGGCTGTTGTATTTGATACAATGTTCCCCCTGCTTGTGAAACACATCCCTTTGAGGCCCATTTTGAGAGCAGGAAACAGCCAAAAGTCACTGGGAGCAAGATCTGGAGAGTAAGGTGACTGAGTGATGACAGGAATGCTTTTGTTGGTGAGGAACTGCTACACAACAAGAGATGTGTGATTTGGTGCTTTGTTGTGATGGAGAAACCACTGTCCACACCACTTGTCGGGCCACTTCCTCCGTACTGCATCGCATAACCTTTTCAAAACTTCCCTGTAGAAATGACCAGTAACACTTTTCCAGGAGGTATGAACTCATAATGCACCAAACCCTCCATGTTGAAGAATGCAATGATCATCACTTTTTCCTTGGATCTGATGGAGAGATGATCATGCATGCCACTCTGACGACTGCGTCTTCATCTCTGGGTCAAAGGAACACCCATGACTCATCACCAGTGACGATCTGTGTGAGAAACTTGGGTCTTACATGCTTTTCTCAAACATCTCTGCAGTGACCAGCATGTGACATTCTGTCTGATCAGAGTTCAGCAGCCTCGGAACAAAGTTTGCACCGACACATCTCATCTCCAGATCCTCAGAAAGAATTGCATGAATGGATCCATGAGAGATACCAGCTTCTTGCTCCAACTCAGCAATTGTTATTCTTCAATCATTTTTAATCAGTTCTCAAACTTTTTCAATGTTTTCTTCACTTCTGAATGTTGAAGGTCTCCCTCTGCACTCGTCATCCTCCAACATCTCCTGTCTGTTTTTAAACCGGCCAAACCAGTCGTAAACTGCAGATTTCTTTAATGCCTTATCACCATAAACTTGTTGCAGGGCTGACAGTGTCTCTGCAGCAGTTTTCCCAATTTGCATATGAACTTGATGTTTGCATGCTGCTCGAACTGGGACATTGTGCCGAATGATAAGCAGTCATACTTAACAAAGATGCTACAGTAATGACTGTGCAAGTCTGAACTTATATTAATGTGAATAGACATGCTGAGCTTCTCGCTAAAGCAATGCATAACCTTATATTATATTGCATTTTCTAACTGTAGACAAATTCCAGAAACTTTTTGACTGCCCCTTGTAAAACTAAATTCAGACTCCATACTTTGCTCTTCACCTTTCAGTTATTTCTCTTCTGCTAAGTGTAAGAAAAAACAGTTTTCATCTGAAGTAAAATTTAGTGAATACAATGAGGCACACAGGTTCAAAAATAGCCAACTCTACTTTTTCTGGGTCTGGAACTATGGTTGATTTTGTAACTAACCTCCAATTTTTATCCCTCTTTCATCCCTTCTTTCTGTTTTGATCATCAATGACAAGAGAAGAAAAATACATAAGATTAAGTACTTAACAAATTTTTTCAAGATGGAGTTAGCCATTTTTGAAACTACAGTATATATCTCATATGCAGTTCCTGACTTCTTTAGATTTTGCTTTCAGACAGTTCACTCTTTCATATATAATACTTTCATAAGAAAATACTTTTTGTATACCAAATTTGGACCTGCATTCATTTTCAGCCAACAAACAAGCAAGTTTGAGCTACAGTGCTACTAGTAAGTTGAGCTACTAGGTTTGGTTTTTGCAAATAAAAATCATTTGTGGAAAGTAAACAGAAAATAAAAATTAATTATGGCAGTGGTTATTACCACCCTGGGCCATTGTATGATTTTAACATTCAATATATATATTGTGGGTTGCTCTGGAAAATTAAAAAAAAAAATTGCCAACCATCTTGCCGGTTTTTTTCTGCCACTTCAAATTATTGCCACAAATTTTACTTAATAATTAATGCAGCTGCTGGTAGCGTTATAAGTTTGGAGTAACATGTTAAGCTGTCACTTAGAAATATTAGTCATTTTGAATAATTTTTAAATGAAAAATTCTGAACAACACATTTGATCATATTTTTTTCATAAGCAATATTTCATAGCTTCTGTCATGTCAAAATTTTTATGCTTTAATCTGCTGAAAAAAGATCAAAGTGAAAAAATGCCATCCCAAAAAATTCCTCACATTTTCTGTCTGTTGATAAAAAATCCCCATCTTGAAACACTAGACAGCATTACACGAAAACTGCCTTTGGTTCTCAATGTCACTACCTGCTTTTCTGTCCAAACTTGCTGTATGACATTGCAATGTTTTGGTGCATGGGACTCCCACTGCACTGAAGCTTGGCATTCTGTTGTTTTTCTTGAAGCATGTTTTGTGATTCAATTTCACCCTAAATGTTGAAATGATTGGACTACACTTTTTTTTTTGTCACTTAAATAAGAGTATTGCCAAGTGTTGATTTTGGCACTATGCAGTGTAACCCGTTATCTGTTTGCATGTTCTTTTATAATAAAATGAAAAAAATATAAAAACATTTACTTCACTTTAATGTACAGTAGTTAAGATATAAGTGATTATTTTTCAATTCTTAAGAATTTTACATCGTTTCTAACTTTTATCATATTTTAAATTTATTTACATTCATATTTTTATATCATTAATATTTTAATTATTATTTAAATCATTCTTATTTAAATAATTTTTATACATATAATTTTTAATATGTTTATATGTAAAATATACAGATTATGAATACAAGACATTCTGTTAACATCTAATATTTCAAAATCATTTAAATAATTTATTGTAGTTTTAAAAATGTCATTATAATAGTTTTAAGTTTAATCATTAAACTAAATTCTTTAAAAATTTGGTAAATCAAATATTATCTTTAAAGTTTCTTAATTCTCTATTGGTACAACAAATTTTTTAATAAATTATATTTTGGTGAAGATGTATATATCTAATCTAATCATTACAATATATATGGATGATATTTTATGAATTTAATACATGTATTGCGTACAAGTTTGCGTGTACAAGTTTACATTGGGATATTGGATAAGCAAATGAAACTTTTAACTGTGAGAAATAATGTAACAAGATTGTGTCTGTTACTTGTCTTACTAGATGTTGTGAGAAATAATTAAATCTTAAACATTTATTTACTATGGACTTGATTATTATCAGTATTTTGAAGATATCAAAGTGTCAATAAAAAGTACTTTATTTCTTTAGGATTTAAGCATTCAATATTCAGCATATGGAATTATAATATACTTTATACTTATGAAAAGTTAATAAATAAAATGAATAATAAACATAATAAGTGTATATAATCAGATTAATATATGCATATATAATTTGTTTAAACAAATTAACATAAAAATTATTGTTTATAGAACTGCAAAACAAAATTTTAATTTTCTTATTTCTAATTATAAATGTATAATGGCTTACTAGTATTTAATATTAAGGATGTTGTGCATAAAATTACTTAATTAATTGATAATAGTTAATAATTTATTTTATCTTAAAATAAATTACCACATTTTTACATTATAACCCACAGCAGCAGTTCCCAAAGTGTGCACTGTGGAGGACTAGGGAGCTGTGGCTTCCTCACAGGAGCACCATGAAATATAAAATTTTCATAATTTCACTTTCAATTCAATGTGACAAGATGCAACATCTAGCAGACCCAGTGCAAATCATTAACTCAGTAATAAAGGTGGCACACAGAATTGCAAAATGTAAGCCATCGCAGAAAAACTCATTCTACAGGGTGCTGTAGATATGATGAACATTATGACTGGTGAGTCTGCTGGGAAGCAGCTTTCAAAAGTGCCTTTGTCCAATAACACCATCAATTGCAAAATACAGCACATAGCAAAGGACCTCCAATGTTCAGTTAATTGAAAAAATAAAAAGGTAAGGAATTTGGGCTGCAGCTGGATAATAATAATGATGCTCACTTGATTTGCTATGTACAGATTTAATATGCTATGTATTATAGATAGTAATAATATTGTAGAAGACTTTCTCTTTTGTAAAAGTATCACAGCTGATGATAAGGCTCACGACTTGTTTGAGATCCTTGATATTTTTATATTTTAAAATAATTTGGAGTGGACCAAATGTGATGTGTGACCAAATCTGTACTGATGGTGTTTGTTCTATGTCTGGGTGTTACAGAGGATTGCAAGCACTTTTTCAAAGCAAAAACCCTGATGCACTGTGGACCCATTGTGTTATACATAGGGAAGCACTCGCATCAAAATATCTGAGTCCTACATTGAACCAGGTCTTAGAATATGTAGTAAATGTAGTAAACTTGATAAAAATTCGGCCATTGAAGGCAAGATTTTTCAAAAAACTGTGTGGGACTTGAGCATGTCTTTGTTTTACTACAGCACTTTGAGAAAGTACAAAACATTACCAGGAGAGAACAATGGCTCTCTTAAGGTAATGTTTTGTCTCGTATGTTTGAACTGTGACAGGAAATTTATGTTCTTCTTAAAGAGGAAAACTACAAGTATCCTGAAAATTTTGTGAATGAAAATTTTTTGGTAAAACAAGCATACTTATATGATATTTTTGAAAAGCTGAATGCTCTGAATCTCTCCCTACAGGGAAGCAACATGCACCTTTTAAAGTCGATTGATAAAATTTCAGCTTTCATAAAAATTAAAACAATGAAAAGAAAAATAAATGAAGATGGCAGAAGAGAATGTTGCAAGTTTTTGACTTCCAGTGGAGTTGATTTCTCTCCAGGTATGAAATCCATTTTTGAAGAACATTTATCACAGCTTATCACTTAATTTCAGAAATACCGTATTTTACGGACTATAAGACACACCTTAATTTTTAAGCAATTTTTTAAAAAAATAACATTTTTACCATTATTTTTGTTAGCTACTAACAAAAATATTGTACTGTTACCAATAACACAAATCACTTTCAATTCAAGTTCATTGGCACTGTAGACTGCAATGACGCATCATAGGCTAGACAGTGTTCTGGGTTTGTGATAGCGGGACGGGAGGGAGACAGTGTTAGCAAGCTTGTGAATCCCCACAACACATGGGGTGTGTTCATTACTGTAATAGCGGTCGCTCTGTGTCTCCGCTACTATGGGAGTGTGCTGCTGTTTGTAGGCATTTAGGAACAACGGTGAAAGAAAGAAAGATGGCAGCTCCCGCACTATTGATAGTATCGTAATGGAGGAATCTATAATTGTAAAATATGAACTTTTAAAGGCAAAAGAAGAGCCCCAATTGTAAAATTTAACCATAAAATGGATTATTTGTTGAAAGAGCATTCAAAATAGCCACGAAAAAAATTAGAATGCTGGCTACCATCCAAAAAAAATTTGAAAAGTCACTTACCGTACATCACCGCATGCACTAACTTGCACTTTCACAATTTCTAAATTTTCATTCTTAAAACCACATAATGGACCCCAAAACAAAACTATCTGAGCCATGGAGGATGTCATGTTGCTTTCCACCGCAAACTACTGCTACAAGCGGCCGTTTTTGCTGTTTGACAGCACACAGTCCAACCAGAATTTAGGAATGCGTTCCTCAGGAATTCTTAAATGGATGTTGCTTGCGTGGAGTTACGCATAGGAATAAAAGAACGCACCCATGTTCTTTTATTCCCATTGGTGCACTGCTGCTGCCAGTTGAATTCAATGTTGCCAGATAGAGATAGGTTTCCCGCAGCATCAAATATATGGTCATTTTTAAGACCGGCGGGAATTTTAAATCAAACACTGGACATTTTTATATTAGTTTTGAGTATAAGATGTACCTGAATTTTGGAGGCAATTTTTTTGAAGAAAAAAGTGTGTCTTATAGTCCGTAAAATACGGTATTTTAAAAATGATAATATTGATAAATTTGCATGGATTCAAGATCCATTTAATGCCAGTGCTCCATCTGAATTTACTGCTGTAGAAGAAGAGAATTTTCTTATTGAGTTGTCTTGTGACAATACATTGAAAAGAAAATTTAGCAACGTGGAATTAACTGAATTTTCGATATCAGTAAAAAATGTATATCCCCTTTTGAATGGTAAAGCTCAGATAATCTTAATTCCATTTGCAACTTCTTATTTGTGAGAAGCTGAGTTTGTTGCTGTGACAAAAACTAAACATTGCATGAAAATCAATGCAGAAAAGGAAATGAGGGTGGCTGTTTCCAGTTTGATTCCAAGATTTGAGAAAATGTGCAATGATCAACAGGCTCATCCATTCCATAAATTTTAATTAATTGAATTTGTTCAATTACAATTTTTGTTATCTTAAATATGTGTTTTATTTATTTTTTACTTACCATCCTAACCCTTTAAAAAAATATTGGCTATTTTGCTATTTCGCAAATTGTACTTGTTAGAATTTGACATAGGGCACCTTGGGAAAATTGGATTTAGCAAGGGTGCTGAGAATCAAAGAAGTTTGGGAACCATTGACCCACAGTAATGGTACGGAGTAGCCACTGCTCCATAGGCAAAAGTTCGTAACTGTAATTTAAATTGGGGTATAATCTACTCCCTTTTAATTTCTTTTAAAAACAGATATCATGGGTTATATGCACAAAAACTACAGTAATATTCAATACTTATAAATATACAAAAATTAATAATTTGAAATTATCATTTTATTTCTAAGTAGGTATTTGATAATAAAAATCATTCATAATAATTTAAACATACCCAAAACCTTGATTATAATATTGTCCATAAGGGTATTGCATGCCTTGCATGAATTGACCAGCTTGGACTTGGGGATAACCCTGAGGATACCAGTAACCCACTTGTTGATAAGGATAAGTGTATTGGGCTGCTATATTCTAAACAGAAAATAATAATTTGTAATTAGAATATATAATATAACAGATTTACATCATACAAGTTAAGTGTTTTTTTTTTTTTTTTAAGGTAAATATTACAAATTTTATGAAATCTAATTATGAGATGATCTATAACAGACTTGGCCAACTTGTAGTGGGATGTGATCAACTTTCATACTAGTAATAAATATGAAAGTACCAATGCTCTGTCATTATATTTTTTATTCTTTTATATAAAGTTTATTAATCTACTCTTATAAAGTTATGCTATTAAACATAATCAAATTTATTTATTGCATAGAAACTGGCATTCCAGGATTTTTTTTTTTGTGAAGACACTACAGCATAAACTAAACAACAGCATTTATCTTTCACCATAATAAAAAAAATTTTATTTCTATTCATTATACACACTAAAAGATTTGTTTTGCTCTGGCAAATCCATTTTTCACATAACTAAAATCATTTAAGACACCACAAAGCAAATTCTAAAATACAACATAATGTAGATATGTATATGAACACAAAGAACATCTTATTTCCTAGTGTTTCTCATTCATTATCTGCATATGCATTTTTCAATGTACCACAATCAGAAACAAAAGACAATCACTTGTCTTGTTTCTCATACAGCACAGTTCTAGTTAAAAGATTTCATAGTGGAAATTTGTAATTTTTATACAAATATAAATTCCATGTATTTTTTGTATTTTAACAGACTATATTATTTACGATTGACTATGACTATCTTGTTGGCCATGTCTAATCTATAAAATTAGCAATTTTTCCGGGATCTGTTTCAAAAAACACTGAGAAACTTTATATAATTACGTTACTGGTTATGAGAATGAGAATATCTTATTTTCAGCAATCAAAAGTTAATAAACTTTTTGTTTTTAATAAGAGATTAAATAAAAAACTTGGTATATTTATAATACTAAAAAAATATAATATAAACTTACATTAACAATTTCAGAATATTTTCATTTGTTTAAAAAATTTAATTAATTCAATTTTATAATTCAAAATGGTAAATCTACCAGTATTACTAAATATTATCATGTTTAATAGTACAGCATAATAAAACTGTATGTATTTAAACAATTTGTATTATACTGATGCATTTAGCATAAATTGACATCAAATTAATGTAATTATATTTCCATTGACAATGTCAGCCAAAAAATTTGAAGTATTAGTCATTCTATGTATCTTATCATTGAATAGGATTATTGCTAAGTAAAAATTAAAATTTCAAGATCAATCATTGTAATTCAATTTTCTAATAAGAATTTTGAAAGAGAATTATTATTTGAGAGAGATAAAAATTATTATATTTGTGTATTGAATTATGAAATTAAATATTCTTTATAATATAAAATGATTTCACAATACAAAAATCATGAAGTTTTATTTTTAAGATTTTTTTTTTATTTTTAACATAAATTAATCTAAAGTTTCAATAGTGTGAGATTTGTTCCATCACAACACTGAAACTTGTGTGAGTGAGATAACTGGAAATTAAATGACTTGTGTAAACCCACAAATGTTTAAGAATCAAATAGAAAAAAGGCTATTCATGGAAAAAAAATGAGAGAGCAAGACAGGTCCTATGTTTCATCAGATGGGTTTACAAATTTCAAAAATGTAAATATGTCAGTAATCAAACTATTAATTGTGCTGTAACAATAAATGTAATTGGAGAATCAGGTAAGAGAAAACTTCTCTGAAAAGAAGTTAATTCCTTGATGACCCCTATAAACTTTTGATGATAATTTGAATGAGAGGAATCAACTGTCCACCACAGACAGTCTACGAGAGATGTCCAGGAGAAGGATCTGAGAAATTTGAGTTAAATGGAAAAACAAGTCTCATCCAAGTCTCCAGACAAGAGAGTTGTTTTCATTCTTGCTGCTCCATTCCTAACTGATTACAATCCTTTCATCCTCCACCAAATTATCTCAACAGTGGGGAAGAAAAAAGAAAGTCTCACCTAGTTAGAATCACAAGAGGAAAGTGGATAAGTATGACAATGTCCAAATGTGTACAAAATCTCAAGATAAATTATAAATTTGTTGTTGAAAAATAAAGACTAATCTCCTGTCTCTTCCTTCCTCTAATGATCATACACTTACTTCAGAAAGAGGTTAAAATCCTCCATTTTAGGGAACTCACAAGTTTATAAGTTCTATAAACTCTGATTGATGTCACTTATCCTGAAATTATACAAGTTGATACAACTACTATATATTGGGATCTCATAACAGTAATCTAAAAGATCTTTAAATATTTAATGTAACATTAAAAAAATTTATGATTATAAATCAAGAGTTATTTCCTCATTTGTAATAAATTTCTTAAAACAGATCTATTAAAATATAAGAATTTTATATACAGGTTCACCACTGACTTTCAGGAACCTCTTTTAATTGTAACAGAATTACAAGATAGTAATTAAAATTCATATGATCACTAGACTCATTCACAGAATAATCACAGATGGTATTGCATACAGTATATGTTCACTTAGATTGTCTACATTGTAGTTGTTTTCCTATATTCTGTACAACTTTTTAGCTCATTTACTTAAATTTAATACTTTAGCTATGCTTCTAAAGAAGATGAAAGTGACAATGGTATCAAAATTAAATGAATCCATATTTAATATATGCTTAATTTAAGTTTCTAACAATCCATAGTATTTTAAAGATATCGGAGATTCATTTTTAATAGTCTGGAATGCCATGTTGTACTTTTATGTGACTTCAGTTAGTCTTTCAAGGCTTTGGAACCAAGAATGTTTGAAAATTAATGGTTTACTGAACTAATTTTATTATCTCCATATTGCCAAAGTTTATAAAATTTATTTATCATCTTACAAGTAAAATAACATTTAAAATTTTATGAGAGATAATGATAATCTAATGAAATATTCAATATCTAATTTAATTATCAGTTAACTAAAATAAATAATGTTTCTGCAAATTTCTAATCATTTAGGAAAAATAAGCACTTTGTTTTGTTAACATTAACTCTATGGATAATTTACTTATTTTAAATACAAATTATAATATAAATGAATATGAAAATATTAACAAGTTAAGTTGTTATAATTTCTTAATTATATTTATTTAGATTCAAATTATATTTTAAAATAAAATCATATTAGTACTTACTTGCTGTTGTTGCTGATTATTAGGATCTCCAGCTTCTTTACCCCAAGAACATTTTACAACTTGACCCATAATTTCTGAATTATGAGTACCAACAATTGCATGAGTAGCTGCTTCTTTTGTAGCAAACCTAGTAATTTATTCATATATTAATTAGAACAATATAACAAATTATAAATTAACCTAACAGAATTATGAATAAAAAAAATTTAATAATCAATATATTATAAATCTGTGAGGCCCAGGATTTAAAAAGGCTGAGAATTGAATAATTTCTATTCATTTCAAACCAAAACGATTTTTTTTAAAGTTAGGGTTAACTCAAAAAGGAAAAAACAACCGACAAATTTTCTCATAAAAATCGCTCATAAAAACTCCTTTCCCACCACAATACTTCCCTGTAGAAGATGAGTTAACTGTTGTGTCATAAGTTTGTCACTTCGCCCATCATTGGTCAAAGAAGATCATCACCTGTGACGTACAAGGAGAGATCTCGAGAAGATATCCCCCCATATAAAAGAAACTGTGAAACCACCGACGGGGGGACAAGTTTTCCTGAACTGTGAGTGTGAATCGCCTGCATCTCGTCTCCACCGTCTTTAACAGACTTTGAACTTCGACTTCGAACTTTGGACTGATTTGAACTTTGAACTTGGAAGGACGAACCTCGGATCAACGTTATAACAACCTAATCAGAGGTATTTATCCTACACGCGATGATGTGTAAGCTCTCTCTCGAATATTCCAAACTCGCGGTTAGGGTCGCGACAAATGAACTATACGGATTGAAATTCCCGAAGCAAGGGATCTGTACCTTCGACTCCTTAAATAATTAACTATGTATAAATGTACGGAATAACCAGAATAAACGGGTATTTTGTTAACGAACTTGGATTGGTGTGCGTTTCTTCCGACAATTTTCCACTCCATACTGAACCTCGACGAGATCGCTCGTGATAATTCCCCATCCATCCGCGTATCTATCCGCGATAAATTGATAGATTGGTGTCAGATCCTGACAGGTGAAGGAATCTAACGATCCTTTCTCCTAAACCTTTTTTTTTCCCATCCTTTAGACAAGCGAGACCGGACCTCAAGGTCTTGAGTCGAGTAAGTGGTAGGAGAGGGATATCCTCGTAACCATCCTACCCCCGATTAGTCTCACAAATCTCTTAATACATTTTTTTTTATTGATTATTCATTCTCCTCTTAATTCAAAAATAAAATTATTAATCATGAAAATTTGCCAATACTTAGAATAATTTAAGCAAATTACATTTGTTAAACATTATTTTAGTATTTAACTACTGCCAATATTATTTGGTTTATAAAGTGATATTTTATCTATTGAATATTATGTATACATTATTAATAGTTATAGTTTCAGTATTGCAATAACTGAAAAAAAAATTTAAAGGGAATGTCAAGATTGGGCTCTCTATCTGTTTAGTTTGTTTAAAAAAAATCCAATTTATTGATATTACTTTTTTAAATGTTCCCAAGCCTTTCTTTTGCCTTATGGGAATTGGAAAAACATTTCTGATCAAAGGAAAAGAGTGTCCTGGGCTGGAGTAAGTAAATATCTATTAAAACCCAGTGTGCTAATCATTAAAATCCCCTCTTTTTCAGCCAACTGTGATAATTAGTGGTTATGTGTTTTCAACTTTGGACCACCACATAACCATTGGGTTTGGTGAAAAGGCACTTAAAAAAGGGAATGCTTGGGACAACTAAGGGAGAGGTCAAGCTAGAAACAAGAATGGTAATCAAAAGGACCTGTGGGACTTTTGTGGAGGAGATAGGTCTTTGACTTCTTAAATAGTCAGAAGCCTTAAATGGTTCATAGTTTGTACTATATGTACAGCATTTGACTTGAAAATGGAATACTAATAAAAAAAAAACTTGCTATGTAAGAATTCATTTAAGGTTTTTAAATGAATCCTTATGAAGCAAGTTTTTTTTTTATTTAATTTTGTGTTTTATAAAGGATTCATTTAAGTTTTTTAAATGAATCCTTTATAAAACACAAAATTTATTTAAAAGATATATTAATTTATGAAGTGATTTCCAATCACGTATATAGTTTTTGAAGTTGGAGATTATAAATATTTTGTTTGAAAAATAGGATAAATTTAAAGAAAAATAGTTTTCTTTAAATTTATGCCAACAATTGAATTAAAGAAGAATAAAATGAATTCCAAGAGAACAAGTACAAATATTCATCTTTCAGGTATAATTTACTGCTTCTCTAAAAAAAATTATGATTTTCTTTTGATTCAAGTAACATAATCACTGACATAAATAAATAAATAAATTTCTTTTGCAAGTTTATGAATAGGAATTAGCAAAATTAGACACATATTCTAAGAACATAATTACAAATACTCAATTATAAAAAATTCATAAGGCATTTAAAAAATTATATTTTCATGAATTCCTTTCCACAGTTTGAGATTCACTAATCTAGAATACATTTTATCATTTTACTTTATCTTATATTAAGCTTCTGTTTTTCAACATTATTTCTTGCATTTTAATACTTTTATCATTAATTAATCAATTTTGATAATTTTCTTCTTAAAATATATATACAGGGAGATCCTAGTTATTGTGATTAATGCTGACAGGAAAAACACTGCAATAACCAAGACGAATAACATTGGAAATAGGAGATTGCTGTCAAGAAATTTCCAAAATTATGACTAAATATTAAATATTATGCTAGATATTTATGTATGTTTGTTCTTTATAGGAAAGAGGTAATAAATTAAAAACAGCTTTTAGTTTTAAAATTTTATTATTAAACAAAAAACATATAAGTTATTTTTCAGAAAAAATAATGTAGAAGACTTTAAAACTCCAAAAAAAAATTTTTTTCTAGATACATACGTGATAACAGTAAATAGTGTTCTCTGTTTCTTCACACACTTTCAATGAACTTTCAACATCAAGATCACCATCCATTAATTTTTGCTGAAATTAAGGTTATTATCATGGGGATGGAGTGATTCTTGAACATCTTTCTTATCTGTTTCTGCTACTTCTAGATAATATCAAGTTGTGAAATTTCTTCTATAGTATCATTAATTTCAGAGTCAAGGCCATGGAAATCATTTGCAATTTTAGGAATAAATTTTCACCAAACCAGCCCTCATGTAGGTTAGTGTAACTTGTCTCCATGCTTTCTTGATGCTTTCAAAAGCATTTTTTATGATAAGATTTTCCCAAAATTCTATCAAAGGTTCTTCTGATTATTTTTAATTGCCTGGATTTTATGAGTCTTCAGACATCTATCAGACTCATAAAATCTTTTCAGGTCCAGTGAAGTCCAGGTGGTATGCCAGTATCATAATGGTATGTTTTCAGGAGAAAGTTTAATATGTTTGATGGTTTCACAAAACAAAATCACCAAATATGGTTCAGTAAAACTTCAGAAAATAGTACAGTTAAGAACTATCACATGTGAATAACAATAAAGATTGGTGTGTAAAGCTTAGAGACTAGCAGTTGACCTAAACAGAATTAAAAGTCTCCTTAAATTTTACATACTAACCTTTAATGCAACTGGACTAATTGCTTAGTCTAGTTGCTTTTTTGATTATCAAATGATAAAGCTCGATTAGTCATTTTGGCTATGACTTAGGCTATTTTAGAATATTTTGAACTTTGTTGTCTATATATACTTTTCTCAACTCATTTACTTTAGATTAAAGTGACCAGATCCTGAAAAGTAATAAGTGGGATATTAGGCTTGGTACTTTAATGTGATGTCAGATGAGTCACACGATCAATTCAATGACCAATGAACATTTTTACTTATCCATATACTAATATTTTATAAAATCAATAGTTTACAGTTTACAGTTGTGAAAGAGACGGCCTTACCAATAAGTATAGCCCGGGGAAGAAGGGGGGAAGGGGGAGGAGGAGGAGAGGAATGGGGAAAGAAAAGGAAGAGGAAAAGGGATCACATGAGGATGGCTGGGAACCGAGTAATAGCGGTACAATCAAAATTGCTAGACTGACATAGCAGTCCAGATATTATAAAGCAGATACAATAATCAGAAGTACATAGCACAATTAAACAGAAAATACACTTTAGAGCGGGTTGAACATTTATATGCCCTTTCAATTAGCCAAAATAAAACTGTACAGAATAAAGCAGATCCCGACGTTGGCATGTAGGTGTTAGTGACATAAACTAAGGCCGCCTGAAGTCCTGGGTGAAGAATCGCGGTGCTAAGAATATAGACCACGTGATAGAGAGATTGCCCTCCATACACAGTTAGCTGAGCACCTTAATTTGGCGAATAAAGTCATTGAATTTTGTGAAAATGTCTTTGTTGCTGAGAAGAAGACTTGCCAGACATGGCCACACTTCGTTCTCCTGCATCACAGCTTGTATCAGTTGTCCGTTTGTTCTCGTACAGAGGACATCGGAACAGCATGTGGTCGCTGTCATCTCTTTCATTAAGCGAGCAATGGCATTGCCCATTCCCTTTGCCGAGGAAACGGGCCAAATAACCTTTAAAGTTTCCGTGGCCCGTCATAATTTGCGTGAGTTCATAAGAGAGGGTGTAAAATCAATAGTGACAATGAACAGTTAATTATGACTCTGAGTTAGCTTTGTTTGCTTTATGGACAGTAAAAGACAAACTACAAAAATATATATTGAAACTTTTATAGGGAAAGTAAAACAATTTAAGTGCAAAGAATTAAATAAATGTACTATTTCTGACTTACCAGCAATTAAGCAATTGCCAAATACTAATACAGAATCACAGCAATTAAGAAATCATCACAAAATTCTTTTAAAAGTTATAAAAGGATGAACCTCTATTTTAATACAGATAATTAGCAAAAATCAACTTGCTTTTTAACTGATTTTCACTACACAAAGTACACATTCACAATTCTCTTACAGACTACACAATAAATCACCAATTTGGGCTATTGTTTCTATAAGCTTGATATTAAAATTTTTATATTATGTAAGAAAAGCACCAAAGTCAGAACCCTACCCCTAAGTAGGACTCTTGACTCATTTCATAAAAGAAGTGTTACAGACTAGAATTAAGTGGAGTAAATATTTCACAATCTTCTCATTGACCTACGAAATGATTATTATTCAGTTCTGGTTTCTCATATGTGAAATGTGTGGATTTTCATTCTTGCTATCTACAAAATTGTTAAAATATGACTTTGCAGTGTCATCACTTCACTTCTAAACAAGTAAGAGTTCATTTCTCATTACTAATGGTAAAATAGTAATGGTAGAGTAAAATTAGCATATTATGTGCTTTGTTAATTTTACTTGACACACAATAATGATGCTACTTTGTTCCAAAACATCCTCTTTTCTTAAGTCATATTCCCACATATACCGAAGTAGAATCCTCACTTTTTTAAACATTATTTTGAGTACAACTAATACAGTGGGTGATTGGTTAATGAACATAATATGTTTCAAGACTTTGTTTGCTATCCAAATTGTTCATTAACTAATTATCGATTTACCATAGATTTTTACCTATGGTAAATCGATAATCAGTTAACAAACTGATTAATTTGATTAATTTGTTCTGGAGACCCCAAAAAAATAAATATACACTTTCTTACTATGTTTATTTATATGTAATAATAAAAATACATGTATACACAGTCTTGCATTTTTATTAGTCATGTTTTTTCCGTTTGTGGAGGTTACAAAATCTGTCTAATGTCGATTGCTTTTCTCTCTTCTTTAGGATTTTTCAGAAATAATTAATAGCATTGTAATTGTAGAGATCCCTAAGCCTATTAACCTCAACCTGATTTGGATGCCATTCTAAGACCGTTGTTCTGACATCCTCCTACTTCTTCAAAAGATGTTTAATAGCAGATATCAGAATTAATCCTCTTTTTCAGAAGAAAACATATCTCGCCGAGTTTCTTGGTGTTCTTCATTCAAAAATTCATGGCATTCTTCTGTCGTCAGATCCGTTTCATGTTCTATTATGAGCTCTTCAATGTTCTTTATTTCTTAGACGTAATTTTGTTATTTCTTAGATGTGTTTTTGTTACTCCTTTTGCTGCTTGAGTCTTCTCGATGATACTGTATCTTTCTTAGATATGACTGAACTGTGGCCTACAGTAGACCTGTTCAAGCCATATTGCCCAGCAACATCAGACATCTGTCCACTCTCCATCTTTGCTATTATACTCTCACCTTTCGAAAATAAAAACTGATGCAAACTTAACAAGTGCCTGCCCAACAGTCTCGTGAATACTATAAAAGAATTGTTTCTGTCAGAAAAATAAAAGGCTGGAATTACAAGGGAGAGTTTCAAAGTTCGGTGGAATACTATCCGATCAGTATATACCGGGTTGAGTGTTGATGTCAATGTCTCCCACACTCTGAAAAGTTCTGAATTGTTTAAGATTATCAGCACAAAACCTTTCTCACTAATTTCTAGTCTTATTAACAGGAGTACAAACGTTTTTGGCCTTCTTAATAGGCGTTCCTCGGGTACACTGTGGAGCGTCGGTTAGAAGTTTAAATGCTGCCAATGTTTACCCAGGTATCGTCTTACCAGTGACGTCATCGTCAATGATAGGTATCGTAGGCAGCATTTAAACTTCTTCTAACCGACGCTCCACAGTGTACCCAAGGAAGGCCTATTAAGAAGGCCGAAAACGTTTGTACTCCTGTTAATAAGGCTAGAAATTAGTGAGAAATGTTTTGTGCTGATAATCTTAGAAATAGTTCTAGCTACATATGCATAGTAGTCTGAATTGTTTCCTGAAGACAAGGATACTAATCAGTATTCATTATTTTATGTTGCTTCTTCTTGTGTTTGTTCTGTGAGGTGTTCATTATCCAAACGTGTTCATAGTCTGAACATAAAAATCTTTCACAAAAGTGTTCGTTATCCGATTTGTTTGTTAACTGATCACCCACTGTATCTATTTATGCAAATTATTAATTTCAAACAATTTATTAAATAAATATTGAATTCAAGTCAAAAGTTTTATTTTTATGTATAAAATGTAGAAATAACAAATTTTGAAAATTTAAATATTTATGTTACAAGTTATTTTAAACATACCTTATAAATGCATATCCTTTATCCTTAAAAACACGAATTTCTTGAATCGGGCCAAAAGGTGTAAATGTTTTTTGCATTAATTCCTCTGCAATTATTTCTTTGATTAAAGCATATATAAAAATTGTTCAGTTATATTATTAAAAGTAATATTTTTATTAGTAACTTAAGCTTACACATTTTGCACATTAATTGTTAAGTTTGGCAATTAATTTTCAGAAGTAAATCCATTATATTCAATTGCTTAATGAATGCATTCCTTTCTGTAAGTTCATTCAAAAATTAGCATTTTATGAAATTACATTACATTTTACTTTATACTAATTAATCATTGCCACTATACAAGCATAACAAAAGATAAACAAAAATTTTATTATACTTTGAATAAAGACAGATCTATCACTGATAAGCATATGCATGCATATCATCAGAGGGGATCTAATGGGGCTAAGAGGAACCTTTTCTGCCATGTAGAATTGTAATGAATTACAAAGCTGGGTTCTGAATGATATTTTTATTTATTTAGCAATAAAAATACAATATTTTTAATGTTGAATCTTGTTTTATTGTATAAAATGGCATGGCTAAGATGCTATAAGTCATAGTACATTTCCTGCATACAGATCAGTATGATTCCATGTTCATGGAAAGCCATTGGAAACTATATCAAAGGCAGACACCAAAGGGCTTTGGCAGCTTTCACCAAGTTTAATTTTGTGGGAATCAAGTACATAGTCACACATGTAATTGATTCTTTCTCATCTGCAACCTAACTAAGTAACTTTACAAGGACTATCCAATATATTGTGAAAGCACATTTACAGGTTAGTCACTTATTATTAATGTTTTGTTACTCTGCTTTACACAAATGTAAGCACATAAAGGGAATCATATGCTTTTTGAATACTTGCAGATAAGAAACACTAAGAACATTTACTTATCATTGAGAGAGCTTGTAGATGATGAATATGAGAAAGTATTCCAAGATTGCAGTCACACTGACACAAAAACTCAACATGGAACTAGCAAACCAAGAATCTATGCCAGGCAGATGAACTGTGCAAATGTACCTGCAGAGACTCCCAATGAGCATTACAGAAGAAATTTGGCTCTTCTATTGCTAAATGACATTGTATGGAGTCAATTCTGAACCAATTTAATTTGTTTGGGGATTATTTTTAGATCATTATTCTATTTATTTTGGGGCATTTTATTTCATTATGGATAGACTACATAACCTCACCTGGACAAAATTCTAAAACTAAAATTCACCTTACTATGATGATTAGTGGTGGTAACAATTATTTCATTGAACTTGGAAACAGCATCTCAAGGGAGACTTCCATAGAAGTCAAACAAATGATCTCCTGCCACAAAATGTCACCAAAGAAGAACAATAAAAAATTATGAAAGATTAAATGTAAGGGTGATGACATGACTTAAAGAAAGATTACTAAAATTAAATGAATGTTAGCCATTTAAGTACATAAATAGGATCAAGTGGATGTAATCATGTAGTGTCATCACAACCATACTATAAGGAGGTGAAGCTTGAGATCAAACGAGGTAATGCTAAGGATTGAGCAAGATTAAAGCAAGGATTTCAAGTTTCATTGACAATGTAGAAGTTTCTAGGTGACAGCTAGGCAAAGTTAATTTGTATGACTTCCTTCTGAATTTTCCATAGATTTCAATTTCATATTTTTGCTTGTTGGTTTTGTGGAGATAATTCTAAGATAGTTATAATTTAATTTATAAGTCTCCCAAGTATCAGGAAAAGTTTCTTGTACATATATATATATATATATTGGTTTTTTGGATTTGATATCTTTTTATTATACTTTGAATTTTTACTAACTTTATTTTGTTATTGTACATATTCAGGCTTAGAAGAATAAATAGCTCAATTTCCGTATTAAGAATTCAGACTTAATAGTGAATATTTTGATAAAGATAGCTATGCTGGCTAGAATATATAAAAAATGTGTATTAGCCCTAACAAGAGCAAGGTCCACACTAGAATTTCTAATGGAATGCAAACGAATAAAAGTCTATCCTATGTCAATATACAGGATAAAAATAAATAAATAAATAGATTTGTTTATGTAAGGCACTGTTAGAAAACTATATGGGCTCTTGATAGAAATAGATAAGGTGTTACAACTTAATCTCAGAATTACATTATAAATTTTTAGATAGCCTATCTAGTCTACATTTAGTGTAATTTATGGTACTTTTTCAATAAAGACTAGCACATGACTCACTGAAATTAAGGTAATGCAATATATGAGTCATGCTTATACTGATAATATTTTTCTTACTTCATACTTTTACATCTGTAAAGGCATTTATGTCCTATAATCATAATCACTGCTATAATTTTTCTACATTGTTAGTTACTACACAGGTTGTCTAAAAAGAAACTGAACTTTGTCTCTAGAAATATAACTAGATGGCGGAACTAGTATCAACAATCAAATTCAAAATTTTGAATGTTATATTATCAATTGTGAATAATAACATTTGAATTGGTTCATAACAATCCTTTGTGTGGCATGAAATGCAAGTGTTATTTTGTGACTCTTGTCAGAAAATTGCAACAAAGCAACATGCCAAACATTAAGTTCTGTGTAAAACTAAAGAAAACTTTTACTGAAACATTTAAGTTATTGAAACAAGCATATGAGATGATCGCCTATACCAAACACTTGATTCAAAGATGGCTGGGAGTCAACTGAAAATTATCTGAAAAGTGGTCATCAAAAACGTTGACTACGGACAGTAACATTGATAAAGTGTATCAAATATTAGGAAGTGATCTGAATGTGACCTGTAAAATGTTGACAGAAAAGTTGGGAGGTCAAAGAACTTCATCTACACAACTTTATGTAAATAATTTGAACAAATGTAAGGCACTGTTCCCGAGGAACAAAAATAGGCATTCATATCATGCTCAGGACATCAAAATGGCTTGCCACAATCCAATTTTCTCGAAAATATTGTCACAAGTGATCAGATGTGGTGCTACCCATATGACCCGTTGATGAAATGTCAAAGTTCTATGTGGAAGTCATCAGATGAGTTTGCCAAAAAAACTTTGTTTCCAAAAATTGCAGGTCAAGACCATGCTTGTCTGTTTTTATGACTCCAAGGTATCGTGAACAAGGAATTTGTTCCAAGTGGCCATAATGTTACTGGAGAATATTATTTGGGTATTTTGGAATGTCGTTAAAACCAAATTTTACGTGTAAAACTAAAGGACTAAATGGACAGCCAGAATATCATGCTCAAGGAAGCTGGACACTGCTGCATGACAATGTACCCTTGCACAAGAGTACCACTATTCATCAATTTTTGGCTCAAAAAAGATACTATAACCCTAGACTATCCACCCTATTCTCCTGATCTGGCTCCCCATGACTATTTTCTATTCTCCCTTAAAAATCTTTATCACTTTATGAATGATAGATACCTGAGAATCATCCAGGCTTCAGTTTGGTAAACTGGACTTCTCACCCATTGAAAGTTTGAGAATAGGTTGAGGTCATTTGACTGAAGCCCGGACGATTCTCAGGATGTGAGTGCCCAGTGGGCTACTTTTGGTAAGCAGAACTGGCACTGTGGGATGATAGATACCATAAACAGAAACAAAGCATGCAAGAAATTTTGAAATATATATAATAAAAATGCAAAAACTGTATAAAATTTAATGGAATAAAACAAACGTCCAATGAAGTTCAACTTGTCCAACTTGTCATAAGCCCCCTCTCCCCTTTTAGTGTAGACATCATTTATGGACAGCCACTAATCTGATATTTTGCCATTATAAATAAAAATAACAGACATTTTTGTTTTCTTGGAATTAGAATCTGCCATCGTGCCTACACAAAACTTGAAGATCATTCTTACATTTGTTGCAAAGGCTGATAATGAGTTATCAGCTGTATCCCTGAGAAGACTCATTGACATACATGGTGATGACTTGCCTAGTCCTGAGCTTCTTGAAGAAGATATTTCAAGAAGCACCAGAAGAAAACACTGGATTAGCAAAAAATGCAGATGAGGAGTTGCCATGCACATTGGCCAAATTGGTGAAAACATTCAAAAACATATGTTTCTGAACATTTTTGTGTTGCTAAAACATTGTGCTAAAAAACCCCCACATCACATGAATGCAAATGGTCAGCTAACATGCTGAATTACATGAGAGCTATGATAACAATGTTGCCTTACAGGACTGGACATAATTCATTCTCATTATGATTTTCATCTTGACATTGACAAAGCTGTAAATATATTTGTGACATTGCATTCAAGATTTGATGTATTGTAGACAATTGAAAATTTTTTTAAGATATAAAATGTTATTTTGTAATATATATAATGTAATGTTTCTTATTACATTAGACCCCTCTGGAAATTTTCTGACAACATGCCTGATATGATATCAATTTCTGCCATTTATGTGTTTTTGAGTGATTGGGAAAAATAAATCAAAACAAAAATAACTTTCATAATATTCCTTAACAGCAAGGAAACCATTCATAGAAAATTTTTTCAAATAACAACTAAGAAATTGTAAATTTTATATTGTTTACTTAAGGGAATTCACAGAATAAGGCTTCACTTTAGAAAAAAATGAAGCTGGTTCCTACTGTATAATAATGTAAAATTAATTCTATAATGATGATTGAGAAAATTTTGTTAAAAGTGAGAATGAAGGAAATTAACTATTTGTTTTACAGTTCAAGCAGTTGCAAAAGTAGTTTACAAAAGTACTAACTTCTCAAAATGATTATATTGAAAAATATTAAAACCTCATGATATTTGATTTTTTTTAAATTCATAAAATCCTAGAAATTAAGTGCCAAACATTAACTGTAAATATATTTAAATGTTAGTTAAATTATCTAACATAACACAATATTAAAACTATATCACAAAGAAAATAAAAGACATAAAAATATAATACAGTAGAGCGTCGTTTATCCGAAAGCTGGTTATCCAAAACGTCCGTTATCTGAAAGCATTCCAGTCAGCAAATTTAAATTTTCGCTAGTGCTGTGGCGCTGCAATCTTCGTCTNGGAATAACAACACGTGAAATCACTAAGAGATTAAATTTGTCAAATTGAACTGTTTATGATTACTTGAAACAAATTGGTTTCGTTTCAAAGCTCGATATACGAATTCCACGAGTTCTTAAAGAGAAATGCTCTATTTGGTGGGATATTAAGGAAATTTTTTTTGGAGCTTTTACCAGACAATTTAACAATTGATTCGAAAGTGCACTGCATTCGAGTAAACAAATTGCGTAATATCATCAAACAGAAAAAGCTGGCTGGAATTGATAAAAAAAACAGCTGTAGTGTTTTACCAGAATAATGTCAAATTTCACACAAGTTTGGTAACTCGTCAGAAACTGTTATAACTTAGATGGGACTTGCTATCACACTGACCATATTCGCCAGACTGAGCACACTCAGATTATTACTTGTTCCGGTCTATACAAATTTTTTTAACTGTAAGACATTTACTTGAAATGACAATGTCAAAAATCACTTGGACCGGTTTTTTGTAAGCAACGATCAAAACTTTTACGAATGTGAAATTGTGTTATTACCAGAAACGATGACAACAAATATTTCAGCAAAATGATCGATAAATAATTCAACAAAATATTTATTTATTATAAAAATATTGCTTTCCGAACAACCCAATATATTTTACTAAAACAGTACATACTCAGTACTGCATAACATTAGATTGTGATTACAAGTTGAAGGTTGACATATAGCAGGGGTGGGCAAGCAAGAGTTCAGTGGGAGCCGAAATGTAGGTTTTGCAAATTGCATGGGAGCCGCAGTTCTGTACTTTTTTATTCTGTACCGCGATTTTATTATATAATATAAATATAATATAAAACAAATATTGAATTTTTTTAATAAACATATTTTCACAAAATTGTGAAAACAAAATTGTAAAAATAATAATAAAAAGCAGAAATGAACACTTTCAGCAAGAGCCGCATTTGCCCATGGTGACATTATAATAATATGTAATTAAAATTTCATATAAAAATCATGTATGCTTTAAATAAAATATGATAAAATATTTTTTCTGAAATATTGTCTAACTCATATTTTTGCTAAATTTTATTGCTTAACTATTTTAATTAATTTGTTTTTATAGAATAAATTTTTCTATAAATTTACAAATCATATAAAAATTTATCAGATTTAAAACTTGCTATTACAAAACTTATTTATACAATTAATTAAAGGAATTTGGCCTTAAAAAAATAACTTAAATGGTACATTGGTAATTTGATATAACATGATCCTTGATATTCAAAAAATTCAACCCTATTCTACAAGAGGCTGCATTGTAAGAAGGAATCCTTTCTGTCAGATGATGGCCACTATTTATTAGTTTCACATTTATCCTGCTCAGATATCTCTTATTGTCGATTTTGTTTACCTTTTCTATATTAAAACATATAGGAGTAAACTTGTGTTTACACAGTGGTAAGAACAAAGTATAAATGTGACATTAAAAATATTGCAAATTGAACCTAAATGAATTGAAATAAAAGCAGCAGAATCTAAAGATGCTAGACAATAAATTGAAGTTTACAGGATATCTGCATTGTCTATGTGAAGACTTGAAACCTACTAATAATAAGTCACACCTTCCACATTATTTCGAACAAAACAGATTAATAAAATTTAATTTAAAATAAAATTTGTTTTATTAAATTTTATTAAACTGTTTGCTGGAAATAATGTGGAAGGCATGATTTATTATGTCTGTATTGTATCAAAGTGCATAGTATCAAGTCACCAGTATACCATCAATAAATAAAATGATAAATGTCTACAAATTACAGTATATATGGTTGTACAAATTAAAATATGAAATATTAATGCCTAGTGTATGAATTAATCATTTTTCTGCTTTTTTCTTTGACACTGTGAATACCAAGTCTTAATCAACATTAATATGTTGATTAAGAAATATATGTTGATTAAGAAATATGATGTAGTTTGATTAATGCCATTGAATCAACATTAATATGTTGATTCAATGGCATTAATCAAACTACATCATATT